CCGCGGTTGTCGCGGGGCGGGGGGGGGGGGGCGTGGGGCGCCCGCAGGAGGGGCCGGTCCGCGCGTGGGGCCTGCGCGGCCCTGAGCTTCGTGCGAGCCGCGCCGCCGGCCTCCTCGGCTCCTGCCCCGCACCCCGTCTTTCCTCTGTTTTGGACTTTTAGGCCCGAAAAAGCCGCGGCCGCGCTTGCGGCGGGGTGGCGAGGCTGGGAAGGGCCCCTTTGCCTGCCTGGGATATATATCCGTTTCTTCTGTAGTCGTTATTATCTTTGCAGTACTTTTATTTCCGTGAAGGATTGAAGGGAGGGCGACGTTACGTCGCAAGAGGCTGCTTGCACTGATGTGCGTAGCCTCCCCCGAGCCTGGCTTCGAGGGCAGGGCTGAGATGGGACCCTAATTTAGCTCCCGGAAGCCAGTGCGTGGCTGCGTATCAGAGCCCTACTGTGTCTAGCAGTCCATGCTGCTTCGTTTTGGAGAAAGCTTTGAGTGTAGAGTGCTGTGTGTACCTGCCTGGTTGTCTGCAAACTTCCAGTAACAGCATAATCATCCACGTGGTGCGTGAACTACCACAAGGTAGTATTTTTGGCGGTTAGTGTGTGTGAGGACGAATACTTGCTGTGACAGAAATTACGTTGTTGAGCATAGTGTTATGCCACGCTGTGGCGGTGGGGTGAGCTCGGAGTAGTGACAGAGTCCCACCAGCTCACAGGAAAGCATGTGGCCACCCTGTGCCCATCGCTACAGGCCAAGGGCATTGCTAGTGCTGTAATGTGCTACAAAACTGTGTGGAAGAAGCTTTAGCATGGCTTCGCAATGTTATTTTATTTGGAGCTAGTGCTGTTAAAATTTTTAATGCACAACAAAGTGTATGTTTCAGGAACAGAAAGGAATATGGTGGAGGAAAAAAAAAAGCATTCCTTATATTTTTCCTGTACCTGAGTTGGTGACTTAGGGCTCAGTAGCAAGTAACTGAGAGGCTACTTTTGCGTAGATAGTCATTTGATAGTATACATATGCACATTCACAAAGTGATAAATAAGAATCATCTTCTAAAAATTCAGTAGTTTTCCTCTGTGGTAGAATCTGAGAAATGGCTTTGTTTATGGAGTCTTGAATCCCTTAAAAAAAAAAAATAGCAAAGCTAAAGACTAAAGTTATTGTTTACACTGAATATAAGCATATGTTGTCTTTGCCTTTTATGCTTTTACCACCTTATCAGTAGTAAAAGCAAATGTTAGTAGTGTTAAAGAAAAATAATACATGTTACTTTGGTTTTGGAGCTTAAAGGGCTAGTCAGATGTGAAAGTTCCCAAACCAAAGTGATCTTGTTCTGTTCTGAAGCTGCTGCCGCTGCCATTTCTCCTTATTGTGCTAATTAATAACTTTTCCTCTCTCAACACAAGGTCGCTCCTCAAGAGGTAGTAGGCTGACTTTGCAGAGATTTATTTATCGCATCTTTCAACATATCTGGCTGCTTTGCTCCCCTTTCCTCTTGGCGGTCTGAAATATAAGAAGAGGAAAATTTGATTAAACAACAGAATAACTAATATTCTTAAGTTTTAATGGATCTTTGGAAATACAATTTTTTTCAGTTTTCGCTTCATAAAATCTGCCAAAGGCTCTTGTTGTTGTCTAGGTGGAGTGAAGTTGAGTTATTTTCGAAAAGCTGAATGGCTGAGTACGGCACAAACATGCCTGTGCCTCATCTGCCTATGGCTTGACGCAGTGACCTGGTCAAATGCTGGCAACTTTGCACCCTTGGTTGTGCTAAGTTTCAGAAAAATTTGAAATGCTTTAAATATTTTCTGGACATGACCTATTCATGCAAGAAATTCTGTACTTCTGATAAGAATGTTGGTAGCCAGCTGTGCAGAAAGTAGCATTCATGGCCTTGAATGTTAGGGAAGTACCTGTGAAACAGTCTCTCTCCTTGAAGTTAGCTATGGCATGAAAAAGTTACAGAACTCCTTTTGCAATAAAATGCTGAGTCTTCTGGTAGTGACTATGAATCAAGATAGCTAGATCTGTTGTACTAATTTACATGTTGTGCAAAACTGCTCTTGCAATAGGCAAATTGCAAAATTTACTTATCCAGTTGACAGCAGTGAGTAGACACCTTGAATAGTCAGCAGTGGCAGGTAGATAACTTCTCTTGGCAAATGGAAAGAAAGGGAACTGAAGCCATTTGCCAAATTTTTAGCATTAGCTTTAAAAACAACAACAAAACAAAACCAAAAAAACCCCTTCTTTCGCTAATGCTACTATCCTGTAAATTTATTTCCAGATGTGAAATAACTGCTTTGATTTTTTTTTTTTTTCTTTTTTCCTGGGTCTCTAGATAATTAGTTCCTGGGCTGTTCTTCCATTGAAAACTTTTCTGAACTGCAGCGACATGACAGAGATGAAAAGACTGATAAATTCACTGGACTTTATAGTTGGTAGTGAATTTGAAGAAAGACATAACACATTCTGTTGCTGTTTAGGGGAATCAGCGTTGATAGCCTTTACAAATCGTTTGTATTTGGAGGGGGGGAAAGA